CCCTAAATTACACTATTTTGAATATTTAATTTTCTGAGAATTTATAAGTAAATCCATTAACTTGATTGTTACATAATCAAAAGTGAGTCCTTTAAAATTAGCATTGGGTGTCAGACTTCTTGTGTCTAATAGTTTCAGAACAGAGCATGACACTTCAAATATTAAAATTCAAATTTTTTGTGTTGGTTACCTTTGAAGAATTTTGTGGAGAATGAACCCCAGCTGCTCTGCCCCAGGCGTCCCCAAGTCAGCTTCTGCTGAAACTGACCAGCGCTGACTACAGGAAGCCCGAGGCAGAGTTGCTCTGCCCCGGGCTTCCTGGAATCAGCTGCTGATCAGTTTCAGCAGCAGCTGACTTGAGGATGCCTGGGGTTCTTAAGTTGATTCTATATGTAAGTCAGAACTGGCGGTCAGTTTCAGCAGCGGCTGAATCTGGACGCCAGTTCCGACTTACATACAGATTCAACTTAAGAACAAACCTACAGTCCCTATCTTGTACGTAACCCGGGGACTGCCTGTACTTTAAAGATTAACTGAAAAGCTGTTAAATAGGGAAAAAAATAAAGGTCCCATTTAACAGTAACTCCTAATTTTATTTGTGCAATCACCTACAAATGTTGTTTGGGAGTGCAAATATAGTCAGTGGTGCATACAAGTTAGTGTTTTCAGAATTGCACACACAAAATTAGGAGAGGGAGGGTTCTATTGAAAATTTTGACCATCTGATAAAAATGTTCAATGATGACTGCTTAAAGTTATGCTCTAAAGCAGGGCTACTCAACTTTGGAAGCCTCAGGGGCCACAATGATACTGACAGCACATGCTGAGAGCCAAAGTTTAAGTGTGGCTGCATATATATGCAAATAGCTTCTTTCACACTGACAGGCATGAATACAAAGATTAAGGCAAGAGTACACAACACACAGGCCTCATGTAAGTCAGTTCTGCTGATATTAATAAAATGCAATATTTACCCAATTTTCACCCATATGACAACGCTTTTAATGAGCAATATCAGTCCAGGAATTTAACTACTAAAACACATATCAACAGAAGGCCATTATACTGACTACTTTTTTGTTTTGGCTCCTACCTGCAGGCCACGTGTTGAGCCCCATGTAAACCCAAACCGCATGCACTGCAGGCTGAGTAGCTCTGCTCTGCTCTAAAACAATGGTTCTCAAACTTTTTGGGCTGTGGCCCACCACGTTCAGTTCAGATCTTTCTGTGGACCACCAGCTAGCCACATATGGTAAAGGATGATTGGAGGGGATGGGTGTGCAAGGTCTGGGTAGGAGGTTGAGTGCAGGAGAGGGCTGAGGGTGCAAGGGTCTGGGAGGAATAAGGATGGCAGTACAGGATTTGGGCATGAGAGAGATGTGATTCCAGCCAATGGGAACAATAGGGAAAGCTTCCAGGTGAGTGGTTTCCTGCACTACCATTCCCCCTGCTAAGGGAAAGGGGAGTGTGTGGAGCCATTTCCTTCCCCCACAATGCAGCTCATGAGGGACTGGTGCTCCAACCTCACAGAAAGGTGCGGGGCTGGCGCACCAGCAGAAGTTCCCTTCTGCTGGGGGATGGTCCCAAGCCTGCAGCCCACTTGCAAGGTGGTCACAGACCATTAGTGGTCCACGGACCACACTTTGAGAACCACTGCTCTAAAGCCATGCTCAGGCAACTAAATATAACTGTCCTGATTTTCAAAAAACGTTTATTACTAAGGCTGTCAAATGATTTTAAGTCTCAACTAATCATAAGATTAAAAAATTGCAATTAATCAGTTTTAATTGCACTGTTAAACAATAGAATGCCGATTTAAATTTATATTTTTCTACATTATCCAATACATTGATTTCAGGTACAACCCAGCATACAAAGTGTACAGTATTCACTTCATATTGTTTTTATTTCAAACATTTGCCACTACCATTCCCCCTGCTAAGGGAAAGGGGAGTGTGTGGAGCCATTTCCTTCCCCCACAATGCAGCTCATGAGGGACTGGTGCTCCAACCTCACAGAAAGGTGCGGGGCTGGCGCACCAGCAGAAGTTCCCTTCTGCTGGGGGATGGTCCCAAGCCTGCAGCCCACTTGCAAGGTGGTCACAGACCATTAGTGGTCCACGGACCACACTTTGAGAACCACTGCTCTAAAGCCATGCTCAGGCAACTAAATATAACTGTCCTGATTTTCAAAAAACGTTTATTACTAAGGCTGTCAAATGATTTTAAGTCTCAACTAATCATAAGATTAAAAAATTGCAATTAATCAGTTTTAATTGCACTGTTAAACAATAGAATGCCGATTTAAATTTATATTTTTCTACATTATCCAATACATTGATTTCAGGTACAACCCAGCATACAAAGTGTACAGTATTCACTTCATATTGTTTTTATTTCAAACATTTGCACTGTGCAAAGTACAATGTACAAGTCGAAGCATGCTGGGGCATATGAATGTTTAGCATATTTGGCACAAATATCTTGCAACACCTTCTACAGTAAACTTCCGATAATCCAGAACCTATGGGACCTAGGTAGTGCCGGATTATCAGATATGCTGGACTATCAGGAGGTACTATAAGCTGCTTATATATATACTGTATACATTATATACTGTATATAAAGTGTTCTTAACCCTTTTTATTATACATACTGTATACAGTATACTGTAATATTTTAGGGTTTTTTAAGCCTTTTTTTACCCTTTTTGCTCAGTTCAGCTGCTGCCGCTGTTACCTTGTGCCCCTTTTTTTTGCTAAAGCTCACTCACTAGGCTCTTGCCATTTTGAAGCCGGACTATCAAGAGTGCCAGACTATTGGAGTTTTACTGTATAACAATGCCGTGTTTCATCACTTTCAGGTAACAATGTTAAAAGGCATTTATTTTTGTGAAAATGTAACTGCTCAAATTTACAGTAGTTACATGTCTACACAGGAGGTGGGGAGGGGGGTAAAGAGCAGGTGAAGATTAACCAATGAATCCAAACTCCTTGATTAATCGTGTAAACGGGTACACATTCATATCCCTGCTTTCAAGTGATATTGTAAATAAGAAGCAGGAAGCATTATCTCTCATAAATGTAAACACGTTTGTCTTAGCAATTGATTGAAATAGAAATAGAACTGAGTGTTTTTGCAGCCTGCTGGCCATGGGGCTCAGTGCATTCCCAGAGAGCTGTGCTTCTGGCCGCCAGCTGCAGGGCTACACAGCTACCCTGCCTCTTCTCCCAAGTGACTCCCTCTCCCAGTCTGGCAAATTCCCTCGTTCAGGACCATTGGAATAGGGAGGTACAATCCATACCAATTTCTTCCAGTTTGGCCACTTTTAATGTAAGAGCTTTTTCGACTGCAGTTCATGTTATCTGAAGTAATGTACAACTCCACCTAATGAACTTTTTCATGTCTTTTCTACTCTCACCTGACAACATCTTTAGCTTCCTTTGTACTGCTCCTTCTGCTTTTGACTAACTCAATTTACTTGGTGCAAAATGGCCCACATTTCAAAAGTACACATCAAGCAAGATTTCACTCTGTATTAGTGTACAGACAGGAGCAATTGTGTAGGAAAAGAACAGCAAGCATATTCAATATAAACAATTTAAAGTATATGTGAATGGATAAAAATAATTAGTATACTATTCTTCATACATCAGTTTTCCCACCTGCTAACAACATGAGGTCAACCCACATCAAGGAGTTAGTGGTATTAACTCCTGAACAATATTACCAGAGAGAACAATATTACAAGAGACAATTTTTCCCATATCCCCACCCCAAACATAGCTGTCCTTTTCAGCTATCCAGTTGGTAGTTGTCAGCACTTCTATTATAAACCACTATTTTCAAAAGGCCTAAAAGGTTCACTGTGGGGTGAAATTCAATTCATGTACAGGCAGTCCCCGGGTTACGTACAAGATAGGGACTGTAGGTTTGTTCTTAAGTTGAATTTGTATGTAAGTCGGAACTGGTACATATTGTAGGGGAAACTCTAGCCAAACTTTTTTTTAGTTTTGGATAGCATAGGGAAAGGTTAACTCCCCTCTAATGTTTGTTTTGCTGTCTGTTCCCCTGTTCAGAAGATTTCACATCTATTTCTGTCCCTGTGACAAACTCAGGACTAAAGGAGTAACTCATCAAATA